GATTCCATCTTCAGTATCTAAAGCATTAATTTTTTCCCCCTACTACAGATCTCCTCCCCATTCCTTATTGTTTCTGGCTTGTCTATGTTTACACGTGTGGAGATTGTAAGGCTTCCTATATTGGCAAAACCAAACGCCATTTAAAAGTCAGAGCCTATGAACATATGGAAATTTCCATCAAAACGCAAAAAAAAAAAAATTGAATAACCCATTTGTTTCCTCTATACGCCAACATAGTGAAGAAACAGGACATCAAACTATGATATCAAATTTTTCTCTCCTCTGCAAGTCTAATACTGACCTGGAATTATTGATTAAAGAAACCCTCTACATCAAACAGCACTCTCCAACACTGAATAACATGCAGTCTTCATTTAAATTATACATTTTTTAATATGTTCATATTACTGATTTTACTTTTTATTTGTCGTGTTTTCTTGCTATGGTTTCTCCTCATGATTACGGTTTTGTGTTTTATTTGTTTAATTATCGTTATATTTTGCAACTGTACTTTAGCAATGTCCAAAAACTTATTTAAATTCAATTTATTTTGCTTTAGATACTGAAGATGGAATCCGATAGAATTCCGAAACGTTTATCTATGTCCCCCTTTTGTTAATAAACAATGTTGTACATCAAAATTATTTATACAATCATTAGCCAAGCCAGAAAGTGGAATAACCTCAAACAATATTATAAAACTTTTTACACAAAATATAAAAGAAGTATTTTGTTATCGAATTTTTTCATTTCAAATGATCTTACACGTGCCATTAACTAACCATTTACACAGATATTAGACCTACTCTGATAAGTTCACGCGCTTACTTAACTTAGACAAATAACAAGCACACCCTGTCCATACAAAAATATTATATATGCTATCCAGGAACATCACAAACAGTACTGTAAACATAAAAACATCTTCCACTTTGATGCTTACATTTCATATGTGATCTAAGCCTACACTTAAATAGCTTTTTGCCTCAGTAACTGTGAAATAATCTGAATATACGATACTGATTTTCAAACTTTTGTCATGTTTTTCAATCAATGTCATTCATTAAGACAGCTGATGACATCATAGAATTTAGAAATCTTCTGATTTCAACATCACTCCTTACAAGATAATTATCACGTCAACATTATGATCGCAATACTTATTTCTATCTAGACGCACCAGTAGTATTGAATTAGCACTAAATAGTACTATTTAATTTGTTCACCGCTTTGCCGCTCCTGCACACTACTACGCCTACTATGTCAAAGGTCTTCTCAAGTTCCAAAGTGGTCTTGTAAGATTTTTTTTATTTGTTCGGGTATTTTTTTTTCATATTTTATAACACCTTATGGTGGGTTGATTATTATAAATAACTTTGATTCGTTTTTTTACTGCTATAGCTGCAGCTATTTTCACTTAGTTACAATGCTAACCACGTTACTACAATAACTGCTACCATTTCACACAGTTACAATGCTAACCACGTTACTACAAATTGTAATTCAGTGAGGTAGTAGTAGTCAGAGTAGCAATGTGGTTAGCATTGTAACTGTGTGAAATGGTAGCAGTTAGCTAACAACGTTACTACACTAACTACTACCATTTCACACAGTTACAATGCTAACAACGTTACTACACTAACTGCTACCATTTCACACAGTTACAATGCTAACAACGTTACTACACTAACTGCTACCATTTCACACAGTTACAATGCTAACCACGTTACTTTACTTATTAAGTTTCTACTTAGCTCAGACAATCTCATCCATCCGAATATCTTTACAAATGAAACTTACTATGCTGCTACTTTGATAAATTTTCGAAGAAGTTGGACTCTTCTGCTGAGAGAAGATGCTAGACAAAGTTCCGTGACGACCCAAAATTGAAGTTCGTTAAACCTCCGAAGGAAGACGTCCAAATTAGACATGGATTTCCTAAACTGATGACGTCCAAACACCTGATAGGTTAGTTCATACTTAAAAAA